ATAGTTTGTTCAGGTGAAAACGGCTACTTCAGGGAAGGAATTTCAATCTTTTTAACACAATGGATTCACAAATATGACCATCTTTTACACTGTCAATTAAACAATTGGAAACATTAACACTTTTTCAGTTAAACTCCTAGACGTATTTGACCAAAATGCAATGAAAACTGATGTTGTGAACAGTTATTTACAGTTAAAATCTAGTTTTTCAATCTGAATATATTTTGAAATTGTAATGTAATTTATTCCTGTGATTCAGTGCCAGTTTTTCTGGATCATTACCTCCATACTGTCACATGATCTTTCAGAAATCATTCTTAAATGCTGATTTGGTGCTTAAAAATGTATTATCACTATCAGTGCTGAAAACAGTTGTGCTGCTTTTGGAAATTTTGATATTAGCATTTTAAAAGTATCACTGAGTTTGTAATTAGATATTCATGACGTTCAGAGGGATTTATTTGATTTCATGAAGGAATCCTGAAAAATAAATAAAACGGTAGTTTCCACAAAAAGTAGGCAGTTTATAATAGGAGACGTAATTAATGATTGTGCACCAAATTCATCTGATCATACAGAGTATGAATGTAAGGGTCACTGAAGACTGATGCTGAAAATCTAGTCTAGGAACACATTATATTTTAAATATTCCCATTGCAAACATGTTTTTTATGTTTGCAAATTTTAAATTGAAATAATATTTCTCTATTTAATCGTTTTCCCATTGTATTTATGATTAGTAAGTAGGACCAAATGCAAAGTACCAAATCTAAAAGTTTTCAAAACTTTGCCTTACACTGTAAACTATACAGAGCGCTAAAATTCAACATTTAATCGTCATTACAATGCTCTCATCAAAAGTAACCACGCGTTTGTGCTCTGGTACATTATGGTCATGGTCACTTGCCAGTTTTGAAACTTTGTCCTCCAGGAGCAGGTCCTCTGCCCCTCCCGCGGTAGAGTCGCGCTCCATGATCTCTCGCTGAAGAATAAAGGTACTTGTTAAGCCAATCACATATACGAGCGGTCCGACGAATTTACTGCGAGATTTCAGTCCACGGATAAAGTCTGCAGCAGTCCAGGAGAGTCAACACTTTGTGAAATAATCGTTCAGACTTTTTCTAAAAAATAAAAAAAATCACAAAACAATATTTCGATGTCTTCTGTCAAGAAAAATGATGTAAAAATCAAAATGTCAATGCTCAAATTTCCCCCCAAAATAATGTCTTGATGGTTGCGCCTTCGGGTTCACTTCACGCTGGATTTATCAACGTTAATTCTGGTCAGGAATGGTTGGTGAATTTCATTGAATTTTCCCCCTCACAGCGGATGTCGGGTGCGGAGGAGCTTCTCGCTAGGAGTCGAGCATCATAGTGAATGAAGTTGAGCTGAAGAGTGAAAATGGGGGTGGGATACAAAGTGGAGTTTTTTTGGCAGCAGCTTCCTTTGGTGTTGTGAGGAATTCAGTACACGCACACCGCATAGTCTCATTGTCTGCAGAAACAAACTCTATGCAAAGACCCACAGCTTTATAAGTTTTACTTCTGATCTGCATTTGCTGTTGTCAATCACCAAGTACTGCATCAGCAACCATATACGAACTGTATGGTTCTTAGCAGCCACGCTGGACTAAACAATCCCATTGACTCGCTGAGTGGATAAACTGGAGATCATTCGCGCGCATTACATAATATATATATATTGAATGCAAACATCAATATATCACCGCATATTTGTGGAATTGGGGCCAGTTTGGCCTGTGCTGGAGAAGCGTAATAACTTGAGAAAGTTGTCATCAAGCGCAATATTTGTACACAGATCACGTTGTGCCCCGTGAACCCGCTGATTTTTTTAAACCTGAAAAGAACTCGCGTCATGGAAAATTCGGTCTTGTCTGGTTCTTTCTGCTTTCTTTGGTGGAGAGCAGGTCATTCAAAGAAAGACCATGAAGGACTGAAACGAGCAAATGCAATCATTTATTTTGTAACAAAAACTAGACTGGAGAATGATCAGTACATTTTAATGTCGCGTTTTATTTTCCTTCATTCTGTAGCCTAAACAGTATGATTGTGTGTCTTTGTGTAACGATCGAAGCATCCATTTACTTCCAATCTACTAGTTACATTTTCTCAACTATCTCACTGGAATAATAGAAAAAAATGACGCTTAGACTATTTAATAAAAAATACAGCACAAGTTGTAAAAGTGTGCAATGTTATTGCACTATAAAATAACTGATCAAAAGTATAGTTTATAATTCTATTTAATAATTTATTACAGTGATTTTAAAGATGAATTTTCAACTTAATTACTCCAGTCTTCAGTCACATGATGTTTTAGAAAACACTCAAACACTCAACATTTAACAATTTAACATTTTTTACATTTTAATAAATTCTGCCAACTTTTGTATGTAAACGAACAGAACTTTTTTTGTTTATTTTCTTCCAGTCACAGCATTTTACCAGTTGATGGCGCAATTTCGTTTGATATTGTTTCAGGATCTGGATCTTTCATTATTATCAGAATTGTTAAGACTGCTAGCAACTAGTATACAAATACACAGTATTATATATATTCTGTGGGATTCATTAAATGTAATTATAATATAACTTATAAAAATAGGCTACATTAAACAACTAATACATTTTCTACAGCATTTTCTGTGTAAGCCTTATACTATAATTATCTAGAGATTTCCAAAGCTGGGCAGCAACTGCATAAAAGTGTCTTTTTACAGTTTCAGCTGGGTGTTTTTCCCCATTTCGTTTCATCAATCATCTGTCATCTTTCTGAATCAAATTGTGTGTCTCGGATATGCCAGGTAAACATCAAATGCATTATAAATATATAGGCCTGCTTAAATTGGTTAAAGGTATTTATCGGCCCTTTTTTAGTTTATAAATATAGTCTACCTTTAACGGTAAAACTACAGCCTAAGTTTCATTTGTACTGCAACAAATATAGGTACACTGATAGTTTACTACACATTTTTGTATTTTGTTATTTGACATTTATGGGCCAAGCAAAAACAGTATGACAGTACAGTAGACTGAAATTAATTTTTAGTTTTAAAAAGTACACTTACAGCAAAGTTTAACAAGTTTATTGTAATTAAGTGAAATAAAACATACAAAAATATATTTGCAGTGACACATATTGTAACACAAAACAGTTTGTTGTTATTGTTTTCAGAGGCAGTATTAAGGATACAGTTTTTTTTCAAATACACAATAGTATTTAGTAATTTGTATTTAATAGGGTTTATGAAAATGGCTTAATATTTTGTATAAAAATACTTTAGTGTCTTGAATTGTTGTAGTTTCAAAATACTGCAAAATACTTTGCAAGAAGTCTACAGTACATGATATCTTTAAAATGAAGCCTCTGATTGGTGCTTTCTCATTATTGCCTAAGCTTGAGATCAGAACAGAAAACTGATTTTTTTTTTTTTTTTTTTTTGAGAAGGTGGTCAATAATTTGGATAGATGGAAATTATGCAGTCAAGTCAACAACTATTGAAAATAGCTACTGAGCAATGCTAAGACCAGAAATAGATAATGGCTATAGTGTACAATTTAGCATCTTTGCAAGAAATTAGATGAAATATTTGGATGATGGAAATTTTACTGGGCACGCAGTGTGTGGAAACATAATCAATAGTGTTCTGACACATTATGTGCATTAAATGATTTAAACCATATCATCTTCAAGACTGGACTTTCTGTTTGAAATGTGTGCTAAATTTATTTTATACTCAAAGAGAAACACAAGTTACCTTTGAGTTACAAGTTCAACTCACTACATTAGACCACAGCTTCCCCTATAGGTAAACGAAGTGGCAGAGAAATTTATTGTCATCAAACATTGTTTATTTTACTAGGTCAGTAATGGTAAAGGGATTTGATCCAATAGGCCTCTTAATGGAAGGTTTGCAAAGAAATGTCATGCTCCATTTTAAAAGTATTTTGTAGAATTTTTTAAAATATAAAAATACAGTATTTTATTTTGATACATTTGTAACTGCTTTTGTAGTTTATTTTGATACACTCAAAATGTATGTATTGAGTATTTTGTTTTAAAATACATTTCAATGTATCTGCCCATCTCTGAATGTTTTAATAAATAGCATTCACAAAGAAACGACCAAGAGCCTAGTTTATAGTCGTTCAGGCTTAGATTTTGAAGCGTTCTAATGAGGGAAATCATGGCTCTTCTTGGAAACAAGAAATTACAAACAACCTTTAAGAAATAAACAGCAATTTATGCCTCATATGATTCACTAGAACATTCAAGGCGAGAGACAGAGATTTGAGGGATTCCAGCTAAAGCGTCATAAAGAAAAAAAAACTCAGAATCTTTTTGAGTTCATTTGTCTTTCTAGGTATGTAAACTTAGAAGAAAATAAAAATAAATATCGTAAATTAATGTAATGTGATGAAACTATTTACATTTTTCCGATTGGCTACTTCTGCCTGTTGACTGTATATCTAGTGAGGGGGAGGGGCTTGCTGCTCAAACAATACACAGACTCTGACGTTGGATATTATATATATAAATAAACAGAAATATATGTGTAGGTCGGTTATATGGCTTGTGTGTGTTATAGGACAATTAAATTGTGAATAGTTTTTTTTTTTTAATGAAGAATCATATAATGACTTATAGTATCATATAGTAATTTGTAACAGTAATGTGCAGGAAATATGTATGTGAATATTTTGAGATATATAAATATCTGTGAAGATGTTTAAATATGTTGTTCTACAATGTTGTGAAAGTAAACTGTTAAGTGCATTCATTTAAAAAAACAATATACAGGCTCTGACGTGAAGCAGCAGCAGCTCCGTGTTTCCTGTATTTTTATCATTTTATATTATTTGTATTATTTTATAGTATTTATTTTCTATAATTTGTGTTTATATTATTTTATATTACCTCATCAGGCTGTGAGGGAGCTACACGAGCAGCAACACCTCAAACAGCGGGTCTGCCTCGCGCATGCGCAGTGCTGTGCTCCGTGCGGCGTTCTGCTGAAGGGATGAGGGCAGCGGATTCATGAACAACAGACCCAGATGCTGATGAGAGAAGTGCGGATACACGGGGGACGCATGGTGTCAGAGAATGCCACGGCAAGAATAGAGTTTCCGTTCATTTACTTGGAGGGAAGGCATCTTTGTGTCTTTGACTAGGCTGTTTGTTTTTGACTTGAAGACATAACTGCGGCTAATGCTGCATATCCTGACGTTACAATGCCAGCGGGGCTGAATGCGCAAGGCAGCGGTATACCTATCTCAGATCCGATGGGTAAGTACAAGGTCAATGGCATTCATTGCGCTCGCAGACCATTATAGTCCCGCGAAAAACAATTAACGCTTGAATTTGATTCGAACATTCGTTTATTTGTGATCATTAATAAAAATAGGCAGACACGAGAGGGAAATAAACGTCCCGTAACCTACATTCCAGCATGTCTCGTCGGATGTCCCCAAGCGAATGTCGTACTTCATCACGACTGATCGTATAAATAAAAACACACAGCTATATGTCCAATATGTCTGCCTTAAGTTCAAATGTATTTTGTTTTGTGACAGAAACTTAACATTACATCACCTACATTTATCTGGGTTTCTGGGTTGTACCAGTGCTTTATCAGCTGTGAATACTATAGACACAAGAGGTCAGATTACCCTAAAATAAAGATGACTAAATTGAGAGTGTTGCTCAAGGGAAGGGCGTGTTGTGCCGTGGCATCTCCCTATTACTCTATTGTCTTCCACAGGATCGTTTAAGAGGAGGAAAAGAAAGTCCATCATAGTAACAGTTATGCTCCTTATTGTCTCCATACTCATCTTGGTCTTTGGTCTGGCGGCTACAACCAGGACGCAGAACATCACTGTTGGTGGCTATTATCCAGGAGTCATTGTAAGTATGCTACCAATGTTGATAGCCTCGCATATAACAGACTGCAAACCATTCTCTCGGTCTAAAAATGGGTTGGTGATGTAAAGTACTGTGGGCATGCAGGAGAGGCCTCATGTTTAATTATTTTCCGCTTGGCCAACCATTATGGTGACCGGTGGCCATTACCTCATTACTGTAAGCTTGAACTGAGTGAACTTCTCCATTTATTATTAAACAGCCAGTATTATTTTGTTTAACACTCCTGCAAGCTTAAGTAACAGTACATTTTGTTCGAGTAACAGGTGTTTTCCTGGCATTCCATGGGGTCGGACTGTTTTGAAACCCTATAGGACATGGGCAGATTTCATATACAGTCCAAACCATATTATAAACCATACCACTTTGAGAAAGACAAAAGGCTTTGTGGGCATTAGAGATTTTCTGTGGGATCATAACTGATTGAGGCTGTTCACCTTTCAGAATTATCTTTTTTCATGGAGTTGCAACTGAGTTTCACCCTGTGATATTTTCAGCTCGGCTTTGGGTCTTTTCTGGGAATCATCGGCGCCCATTTGATAGAGAATAAGAGGCAGATGGTAAGCAGTTTTTCATTACACTGCTCATATCAGATTCTGTGCTCAGCCATTTCATCTTCCAAATGAAATTTCTATGCAAAAGATTCTCACAAACAAACACGCTCCCAAGAATCCACTGCTTGTTTTAGTTGTGTCATACTGGCAGAAATGGCTCGCAGGTTTGAGCTCGAATAGCAGGGCATGTCGCAGGCCTTGTGGTGAGAAGCACCCAGAAATAGCTCTGTGTAAGGGGAGCGGGATGGATGTCCAGGCAGGAATGTTCAGAAGCCGTTGCAGTGCAGAGGGAATAGGAGGTGCCACAATCCAAATAAAGAATGCATGAGGATGGCATGGCTGGCCAGATCATAGACACACTGGGACACTTACAGCTGGCCGAGTGCAGGATACACACTCCACCCTTGACTGGAAGTGCTTAGAGAACATGATGCAGGGTCCAGCAGTCTGAGAAAACTCTGGAAATAACCAGCTTTTGGTTTTTAAACTATGCACAACAAGGAAAGAAGTGTTATAATGTTTCTGCACTATTTGTAGATCCGTAATCGAATAAGCGAATTTGTTGAATTGAGCATGTCAAATCCTTTTGTAGAGACGGTCAGATGTTCCTCTTCTGATTTAAGCACAAGATGCTTTTTGGACTCTTTTCAAATCTTGCTGACGAATATGATCATCAGGGTTTACTCAGCGGAGATCGTAGCTTAAAAAGTTCTCCCAAAAGTCAAAATTGACTTGTTTTGTCCTCCTCAAGTAGTTATCAATCTTTCTGAGTTTCTTTCTACTGTTGAACACAAAAGAAGATATATTAAAAAAGGCTGAAAACCTGTACCTACTGACTTTAAGAGTAGGCAAAACACGTAGTATAAAAATTATGCTCACAGGTTTCCAGCTTTCTTCAATTTATATTCCTTTGTGTTTAACAGAAGAAAGAAACTTATATTTATTTTAAACAAGTAAAATGTAAGTAAATTATATATACTTAGAAGTTTTTACATATGTTTTTACACGGATAACAAATTATTATTAGTAAAATATACTAATATATTAGTATAATATTGTAGATACACATCCGTTCCATATTTAAGGGTTCAAATGCTTAAAAAGGTGTATGCTTTATTTAATCAAAAAACAAGATGTACAGTAATACACTACTTGTCAAAAGTTTGAGGTAAAATTTTTTTCATGTTTTTTTTTTAAAGAAAATTATTCTGTGCATGAAGGCGACATTTATTAAATGTAAAAAAAAATTAAACTTTTGCTATTTTGGGGTTTCTGCCTGGATTTTGCCTACCCAAATTGAAAAGCTTCCCAAATTTACATGCAGAAGTGTAAATGCAAAAGTTTGGTATCATTTTAAACAATACTCTTTGAATTTTCATAAAACATTGTTAAAAGTGATTAAAATAATTGTAAACGTCTCCAAAAAAGGCGCTAATAATAATAATAATAATAATAATAATAACAATAATAATAATTATTATTAGAGTGAATTCTGAAGAGTGGCGCAGTAGGTAGTGCTGTTGCCTCACAGCAAGAAGGTTGCTGGGTTGCTGGTTCAAACCTCGGCTCAGTTGGCGTTTCTGTGTGGAGTTTGCATGTTCTCCCTGCGTTCGCGTGGCTTTACTCCGGGTGCTCTGGATTCCAAAGACATGCGGTACAGGTGAATTGGGTAGGCTAAAATGTCCGTAGTGTGTGTGTGTGTGTGTGTGTGTGGATGTGGATGTGGATGTTCCCAAGAGATGGGTTGCGACTGGAAGGGCATCCTCTGCATAAAAAATGTACTGGATAAGTTGGTGGTTTATTCCGCTGTGGCGACCCCGAATAAAGGGACTAAGCCGACAAGAAAGTGAATGAATTTATGACTGAAGACTAGAGTAATGAAGCTAAAATTCATCTGTAAAATCACTGAAATAAATGATTAAATTGAATGATAAACGACTTTTGAACAGTTATTTTATAGTGCAATAACATTTCACAATGGTGATGCGGTGGAGCAGTAGGTAGTGCTGTCCAAGAAGGTTAACCTCGGCTGGGTTAGTTGGCGTTTCTGTGTGGAGTTTGCATGTTTTTTCCCATGTTCGCAAGGGTTTCCTCCGGGTGCTCCGGTTTCCCCCACAGTCCAAAGACATGCGGGACAGGTGAAATGGGTTGGCTAAATTGTCTGTAGTGTATGTGTGTGAATGAGTGTGTATGGATATTTCCCAGAAATGGGTTGCAGCTGGAAGGGCATCCGCTGCATAAAACATATGCTGAATAAGTTGGCAGTTCATTCTGCTGTGGCGACTCCTGATTAATAAAGGGACAAAGATGAAAATAAAATAAAGGAATTTTCTAAAAAAAATGATGCAGCCTTGGTGAGCAGGAGAAGCTTATGTTAAAGCATTTAAAAATCACACTGACCCTAAACTTTTGACAGATAGTGTATGTAAAATATTATAAATATAAAGTAACAGTTTACAATTTCAGTTGATTTTTAAAAGCAAATCATTCCTGTGATGACAAAGCTTTATTTTCATCAGCCATTACCTCAGTGCCTCCAGTGTCATACGATCTTTCAAGAATTGTTCAAATGTGCTGATTTGGTGCTTAAAAATATAGTATTACCAGTTGTGCTGCTGAGTATTTTTGTGATAAATAATACATTGTTTTTGAATTTCTTGATGATTAAGAAGTTAATTTATTTGAAAATCTTCCATTATAATTATAATTATCATACAACTGTGATGCATTCCTGCCAAATATATTAATAAAAACACTAAAAACTTCCTATTTTTTGAATGTAATCTGTTTTATGATACATTATATTGTAAATAGAATGGCCCGGTGGCTCAGTGGTTAGCACTGTCGCCTCACAGCAAAAAGGTTGCTGGTTCAAGTCCCAGCTGGATCAGTTGGCACTTCTGTGTGGAGTTTGCATGTTCTACATATGTTCATGTAAGTTTTCTCGGGGTGCTCCAGTTTTCCCCACGGTCTAAACACATGCACTTTAAGTGAATTGGGTTGGCTAAATTGTCCGTAGTGTATGAGTGTGTGAATGAGTGTGTATGGGTGTTTCCCATTACTGGGTTGCAGCTGGAAGGGCATCTGCTGTGTAAAACATATGCTGGATAAGTTGGCGGTTTATTCCACTGCGGCGACTCTTGATTTATAAAGGGACTAAGCCGAAGGAAAATGAATGAATATTATAAATAAACTAAGGTTTTTTTTTTTTGTTAACTTACAAGAAAACAAATTAGTCTCAGCCTTTTGGACTTACTCTGAGTGTTTCTTTATTGGTGAAAATTAATTATTTAAAGATAAGGATTGATTTAGCTCATTTCAGGAAAGCAAAAAAATAAAAAGACATTTATTGATCAGAAACAGCCATTTAAATGTTTTCCTTTTCTGTCTGTAATTTACAATGCCACGAAAACCGACGCCTCCACAAAGTGCTCTAGATTGCTGGCTGGATGGAGTGACTTGTATCTAAATGGCTGTTTGTGAAAGCCAGTGAAAACAACAAAGTACTATGGCTGTAAGGATGAATCCAGTGAGACCACACTGTCCACATATCCCATAATAGCCACATCTACAAGATCTAAGACAAATAAACCACTTCAGTAGTAGTAGCAGTAGTAGTGTCCAGGTGTGAATGCACGTGCATGGAGCTACAGTACTACAGCAGGTGAACAGGCTGACATTGCTCTTTGCTTCCAGCTGGTGGCCTCAATTGTCTTCATCAGCTTTGGCGTTGTGGCTGCCTTCTGCTGTGCTATAGTGGATGGCGTTTTTGCTGCAAGACATATAGTAAGTGCTTTTCTACCATGTCACTGTATGTATTTCTTCAGTTAAGCATTGCACTTAAAGCTCTGTCATGGCTGTTGTTGTTGTTGTTTCAAAAGGACCTCAGACCTCTATATGGTGGCCGATGTGAATATTACTCCAGTGGGACGGCATTTGATGTAGATGTGAGTTGTCAACCTGAGATAAGTTCTCTCACCTAACTTATGCCTGGTATTAAAGGGTAAAGTCTAAAAGGGATACAGCTGTGGATGCTAACATAAATATAGCATAATTATTGTGACACTGTACAACAGTAGTTAATATTTTTACAGGCGGCTTGGTGGCTCAGTGGTTAGCACTGTCACCTCACAGCAAGAAGATCGCTGGTTTTTCTGTGTGGAGTTTACATGTTCTCCTTGTGTTTGCGTGGGTTTCCTCCATAATCCAAAGACGTGTGGTACAGGTGAATTGGATTTACTAAATTGGCCGTAGTGAATGAGGAATGGTGGTTCATGCCACCGTGGTGACCTCTGAAATAGAGACTAAGCCAAAGGAAAATTAAAGCATGAATGAATATTTTTACAGTACTGTGAGGGTTGAGATTAGGGTTAGAGTAGGGGTAGATGTTAATAAAATACAGTTTAATGGGCAATTTAATAAATAATATGAATAATACTTTGTATAATTACTGTTTTTACATTACTGTGATGATATGGTTCAGGCATGGGGTAGGGGTAGATGTTATTAAATACAATTAATGGGTAAATTTTGCAAATATTAATAGAAATAATTGTTGTTAACTTCCGTTCGCAGCTGTATTCCTTCTAGATGAATCGTATTAAAGGGATAGTTCAGCCAAAAATAGACAATTTCTTCATTTATTTGCTCACCCTTAAATTTTTCCAAACCTTCATGGATTTCTTTATCCTCTTCAACACCATTGACATCCATCACAGGGAAAACAAAAACTATGGAAGTCAATGGTAAAATATCTTCTTGTTTGCTTTAACACAGGGGTGTCCAAACAGGGCTGGTGTCCTGCAGATTTTAGCTTCAATATCCTCAACACTCCTGCAATGATGTTTCTAGAAAGCCTTGTAAGAGCTTGATTAGCTGGCCCAGGTTAGGGTTTGAACTAAACTTTGCAGTACACTGGCCCTCCAGGATAGAGTTTGGACACCCCTGCTTTAACAGCAGTAAGAAATGCAAACAGGTTTGGAAGTTTAGGTTGAAATTTCAGTTTTGGGTGAACTGTCACTTTAAGATACTTTTTGATCTGTTTAACCTGTCCTCCAAAGTATATGACTATATAGGTTGTTTGTCACTTTTTTTTTTAAATACAAGAAGCTAAAAAATAATCATAATAAAGGATAATTTTCGGTCTATTTTTCACCACAAGGGACCGTGTACATTAGTCAGCTTTCATGAAGAACGTAAATGTACCCAAATTAGCCCAAAGATTAGTTTTCTTTGGTGGCCCCTTTTCCAGATATTAAAGTCCATAATAATAAAAATACAAATTCAAACTTACAACAACACTCAAATAAACAATTTAAAACAACCACAACAATAACAATATCAAAAAGCCACAATATTCAAAATGTCACAATAATAAGAAGCCATTTCTTAAAATTATACTTAAATGATTTAAGAGATTCATACTCTAACAGATTGTGTTATCAAGTTTTACTGATGTGATGCTTTAAAAGAAAAACAAGCTTGACCAAAAAACCTTTTTCTGAGTGGAATAATACAATCAGCTCTAGTAGCACCCCGACCCGAGACACTCTGTTTTCTACAGACTTAAACTGGAAAAAGTCAGATAGACGAGGAAGAACGGAACTATGTATAATCTTGTAAACTACACAACCATTTTTAAACTTAATGATGTTTTCCCAACTAAGCAGGCTATGGGTATGCCCATACCGAATATGCGCACGCAGAATTTCACAGATTTCCACAGATTTTTAACCCATTATTGATTTTGTTTCTTTACTTGTGTAAATGTATGTAAACTTATATTTGTTCAGTTTTTAAATTAATTTCAGTATAATTATTGACTAATATGAAAATGTTCAATTGATTTATTTACAATACAGTTTGTGAAATAATATTTTCTGTCTTTTAGTAGATATCTTATATGAGAGACTTGCTTTGTTAACCAAATAAAGTGGATCTAATTGGATTTGAATTGTAACCATTAAATAAAAGTTAAATTATTTTTTTTATTTCATATATTAAGGTTTTAGTTATACACAGATACACAGACTTTTAACGAAATTCTCTGCAGAAATAGCAAAAAATGTCCCCAGATTCTGTTTGGCCCTAGCTATGCGTTTTTAAAATAGTAAACAGTTGGACACAGATGCAGAGAGAGTAAATCAAATAAATGAATGATATTATCTTGAAAGTGACAAGGTATCAACAAACAAGAAAGGATTTCCATATATGATTTTCTTCTTTATTGCGGTGTGAGCGCTTACAGTTTTTGGCAAATCAGTGTATATGTTACAGTAAACAGTATAGAGTATACAGTATAGAGATTAATAGAATTCAGGCTTTCATGTCTCAAATTTCCAGAATGTATTATGCTGTAACCACACATTCCCATTCTATATACCACAGCAAAATGGGTAACTAAAAACAATCAAAACATACTTCAATTTATTGAAAATTATATAAGGGACACTCAAACTGTCTAAGGGACTTTTGTGGTTTTATTGAGAATCAAATCAAGTTCAATTCTTACAGTGAAAAGTCTTTGCTTATGTTTGATTCATTTCTATATTTTTTCAAAAATATTTGTATAGAATTTTCAGTAAAATGAAGTTTGAGTTTTCCTTTTGGTTAAACACAAAAGACAATATTTTAAAGAATGTTTAAAACCTGTATGTACTGTCCTTTATAGTATGAAAACCAAATACTATGGAAGTCAATGCTTTTTTTTTTAAATAACAGAAGAACACATTCCCAACAACACATTCCCATTCCCATTCTCTATACCCCAGCAGAATGGGTAACTAAAAACAAACAAAAAGTCCTCAAAATGATCGAAAATTATATACAAATATTTTTGAAGAATTATAGAAATGAAACCGACTTAAAGCAAAGACTCTTCACTGCAAGAATTACACTCAATTTTATTTCTCAATAAAGCTACAAAAGTCCTTCAGTTAGGAGCATTTAGGGATTTTGTCATTGTCTTGTTTTGTTTGATTAATAATGGTGTGCACAATCAACAGCAGGAGTTTAGCCCTCTGCCATTTTAAGAGACATGCGGATCCAATTTTACACATGCATTTTTATTCTCAACTCTTTATCTTCATTTGTTACAATGAACAGTTATGTGAAAAATGACTAGGCACCATGTTTGGACACATTTTTGCCTTTATTTAACCAATTAGGTGTGTAGCTTAAAATAAAATATAACTTTACATGTCTGTGTTCTGCTCCATCCTTAATGCTGGGCGTATGCAGTGAACAGAAGTTCTCTTTCGCTCTTTTAAAGCATGAATAAATCTAATACACCTAATTAAATCAGAATGTTCCATGCTGCTAAGATTTTACTGATTTCCATGTGAAATTGGGCGAATGAATAAATGTGCACTCCTGGAAAGGGGCAGGATTTGAAACATTAATAAGTTTTTTCTTGATTGTTGTTGTGTTTTATAAGTGTTGGCAGCCAAAATCAATGTTTTTTTTTTGGATTGATTAATTGTGGCTTGTTAATTTCCAAAAATGTTATTAATTTTATCAAACCATTAGAACTACCACGTTTTATTCCATAACTAACAGAAGATAAAAAAAATTGTGGTTAACAGTTGCATAAAAAAGACAGCCTTTCGATTTTTTTTCTATTGTATTGTGATCCCTGGGGTGATTACAGCATATTAAAGACACCGCAATAGCGTCAGATGCAGCAGATTGATTTAATGGCACCTGGTTAAACTTTCTGACACCTTTACTGCACTCACATACATAAAAACAAATCAACAAAGAATAGTCTTGGACCTATTTGTGTGTATGCATCATTGCGTGCAAGTTTGTATGCTTGTAACCACCTCAGAGGATAATGGGGGTCCTGAATTGGCATTGTTATTTTGGAGGTCGTGGGTTGAAAAGCTTGGGAACCCCTGCTTTAATGGAAGGGTCTATGAGTGGATGTGTGGGGTTTTTCAGATCTTTGAGTCATATATTGGAAAATAAGCTTGCAGACTTTATATATGAAAACAAAAGGACAAATCTGAAAACAATATGGAGAGCCTGGAGCTGTACGATGAATCAAAAAATAGTTTTGATTTTGGCCACCAAAGAATTATATAAAAAATATAAACATGACAAAATGATAATTGTGGAGCTGCGCATCGATGGATTTGCTCTTCAGTGTTTGGACTTTCAGCAGTGAAAATTAAACTGAACTAAACTGAACCTCAACTCTGAAAACTGGACTGACACAGCTTCAATCTACTTGAACGTCTATATTAAGCTGCTTCGACACAATCTGCATTGTAAAAGTGCTAAAGAAATAAAGATAAATCGAACTGATTTGAATTATTGTCAAATCCTGCCCCTTTCCAGCAGTCCACGTTTATTCTCAGCCCTAGTTTTTTTTCTCTGATAGTCAGAAATCTATGAGAATTTCTTTGGGTTTGTGTTAGAATCACGACCATGGCTTTTTAACACTTTTTTTTTTTTAACAATTTTAAGATTTCCACAGACATGGCTAATGTACTTAACCAACAGGTCCCATAATATTTAAAGGGATATTTCACACAAAAATTAAAATTTACTCACCCTCAAGTGGTTCCAAACCTTTAAATTTTCTTTTCTGTTAAACACAAAAGTAGAAGATAATTTAAAGAATGTTAGAAACCTTTAACTATTAGGAAAAAACAAATAACATGAATGTCAATGGTTACAGGTTTCCAAGATTATTCAAAGTTAAGGGTGAGTAAACGATAACAGAATTGGTAATTTTGAGTGAACTATCTCTTTGACAATTGGGTCAGGAGGCAGAGAGTATAGATTATTTTGCCTTCAACTGTATAAAGCCCTGGTCAGATCGTACAATTTTGTCACAAACTCGGTACGATTACCATGATGTATGGTGTCAGTGGGAGTTAACGACTAATGGGTGTCGTGACACAAGATTCAATTCTTTCTTTTAATTGTTTAATTTTGTCCCTGATCTTTACGACGAGTTCTGTCACTTGGGTGACACTAGGAACTCATAATTTCTCAGTTACATCCGCGGATGCTGCAATTAATTTGTGAGTCATGTATTAAAAAAAAATAGGCTGCGTATTTACTCAAAGGTATTAAAGTGTTTAAAGCTATTTTATCTGACAGACTGGCACAAATATGCAGACATCTCCATTCTCACAATGAGTTTCTGAGTTCTCTTAGAGTTCTCTCTTTCGACCGAGTTTGTTCCTCTGAGGTAATCTGGAAACATGTTCAGTGCTGCGAATAAATTGTAAAAACCTTGCTTGCTTATTTAAATTACGTGATTAAACCAATTAAATTGAAACTCACTGGCAATGGAAGGCATTAAAAATGAAAACAGGTTAATATAAGTTTATCTGAAACTGTATATTTCACTTTTGTTTTATTTAGGCTAGATTTTATTTTATTTAACAAACCAGTTCGTGTTTTGGTGCTGAAGAATATAGCGAACTTGTTTTGAAGCGCTTCACCTCAGATGTTATTCGTTATTCTTGTTCATATAGTTCAAAGATATTTTTTCCAAGAAAAATATATGAATTCGATTTTTTTTTTTTTTTGTCCTTCCACTACTTAGCTGTGGCGGTGGATGATTTGTTTCGCTCAGTGGAAAATAAGTATTTAATTAATGTTTTACTGTAATTGTATCACAAACCTCTGTCATTTTTTTAATATGTTATTATTTTGTCTTGAGCATCGGATTTTCCTTGGTGCTGATGTACTTTCATTTTCTCCATCTCACTCGCGGAATGGCTGGAAAATATGGCTTACATTTAGATTTAAAAGAAAATATCTCAATATTAAAAAGGAAATATACGTTTGATCCTATTAATGTCATAACAAATGCCCTTAAATAATGTAGCCTAGTTGTCAGCAAGCATCGGTGTTGATTGAGATTGACATAAGATGTAAAAAACATTGAAATTAATAAGATAAGAAATATTGTTTTAGCAACACTTGTGACTACTTTGGGAATAACGCTCATCGTAGACGTCACGGGATGACTGATCTAGTCTGGCACATTCATTACTCACTACAAGTCAATTTACCAAGAAAAATTTACATAATCTGACATAGTGACTTTCATAGTTCACAATAAAAATAGTGTGATCTGACCAGGGCTTAAGAGTTTACACTATAACAATCAAATCAAACGCTTTTTTCAAAAACCTATGGGAGTGCTTTGAAAATGAACAAGCTAAAAAAAAGTTACACCCCTTGTCCACTTGTAGTCATATCACCCAAAAAATGGTTGTAATAAAAGATGTAAACAGGTGTAAATCTGATAGTTATTAACTACTACAATTGAATCCCATTTAGAAATCTCATTTGTCTTGCAGGTCCACTGTCAAACTGGATCTCGGGTCTCGTGTAACCTGCGTGTGAAGAGCAACACCTGCTACTGCTGTGAACTTTACAACTGTGGCAAGTATGTGTGTGTGAGCATGTCCCATTCGGATACATCCCTCCTAGGATATCTTCTGCAAGCAGCCAGATCAGATTTTTTTAAAAAGTATATAGCAACAACTAAGCTATCTTTGTTTTACCTTGGTTTATATTTGCTTGTATGGTGTATGCTTCAATCCCTGAAATTCAGCTCTGTTCGAAAGAACGTTTGTGTTTATTTATGTTTCAGAGAGCATCCTCTTATGGGACTTCAGAATAAAGATGTTTTGAAAAAATTTAGGAAATCCTCCATGATTTGGAAGTAGGTCTTTCCACTTTTAGCCCTTCAATGACATTGACAGCCCATTATATGTTGTTGTTAATCTCTGGAGTGCGGCTGCGTATGGTCGCTGCACTTTCATGTCATGATAAAGTGAACTGTAGCGTTCTCTGGTTCCTGTTTTACAGGTGAGGAGAGACTGTAATAATTTAGATTAAGTGTCTTTGATGACAGTGAGTGTATAAATAAAGAGACTGGATATATTTATCCATTTCATGCTCTTCTTAAGAGTGATGTGCACTGGTATGCTGATGGTTTTGTTAAGTTCTTATGCATGAATCCCTGTTCTGTCATGCTTCTCCTCTTTTGTTGCTCCTCCTCTCACCAATACGTGTGCTATTTCTTCTTTATGGATCTCTTGCGATAATCTGTTTCTCTGCTCGTCATATCAGCCGAGTGGAACTGCGAGGAGGGTATCATGAGTACACAGAGGTGCGGAGCTGCCAGGATGTTGTCCACCTTTATCACCTGCTGTGGTCTGCTACTATCCTCAACATCGTGGCTTTGTTTCTGGGCATCATCACTGCAGCCGTGCTGGGGGGCTTCAAAGACATGGTGAGATTAAAATGCAATACAAACGATTTGTCAAACTATTAGTCAGAGAAGAGGCAGTTTATGAGCATCTACAGTTGGGTTCCACGGAATTCCTACATTTTGTGCTAACACAAATTAATTAAGTTACCTTAATTTTTTTTACAATTGAGGTAATTAATTGTAAAAAATACAATTAAAATTAATTTATTTAATTATTTTCATTTCATAAAAACGTGATTCTGTTAAATACAATTTTAAATAACTCTGGAAGTGGTCAAAAGCATACAAGCTCAAACCACATTCATTTTCAATTTTTTTATACATCAGCATTGATCAAATCTATCTCAATACCTGGTGTAAACTGTTTTTTTGTACGCTGCCTGACAAAAGTCTTGTCATTAATCCCAGTTGTACGAGCAAGAAATAATATCTTGACTTCTATTTGATCATTTGGAAAAGTGGCAGAAGGTATATTTTTATGATAAATCATCTGTTGAACTGCATCCCAATCATCACAAATACTGCAGAAGACCCACTGGAACCCGCATGGACCCAAGATTTTCAGTTGAATTCAGTATGGGGGTGTGCGAGAGATCTGCAGAGTGGATGGCAACATCAACAGCCTCCACATCAAAGTTCCTGAAAGCAAAGAAGGTCAAGGTGCTTCAGGATTGGCCAGCCCAATCACCAGATATGAAGATTATTGAGCATGTCTGGGGTAAGATGAAGGAGGAGGCATTAAAGATGGATCCAAAGAATCTTGATGAACTCTGGGAGTCCTGCAAGTACGCTTTCTTTGGCATTCCAGATGACTTTATTAAAAAGTTATTTGAGTCATTGCAGAGATGTATGGATGCAGTCCTCCAAGCTGATGGAAGTCATACACAATATTCATTCTTTTTTCACTGCACCATGACTTTATATTCTATACTGTACATTATTTCTGTTGAGTGACTCTTGTCAAGCAAAGTCTGACCTTACTTTCCTAATTAAATCATTAAAAATCAAGCCATGATCATATCTTATTTTGGTAAAATAAGTGTAATCTAGAGGCCTTGGCCTTTCATATAAGCCACTTTGGATATCAAATGATCAACTAGAAGTCAAGATATTATTTGTTGTTCCTAAAACTTGGATAGGCGACAAGACTTTTGTCAGATAGTGTATACTGTAGCTGCATTTAGCTTGAATTCAGAGAATCTGTGACATACATAAGGTCTGTGTTTTTAAGATGCCGACAGCAGCACCAGATTCTTGTGAGCCGGAGCCTCTTCCAATCCCTCCACCACCAGAGACTCCTGGACCCACCACCTCCAACAACTCCTTCTACAACACTGCCCCCTGCTTGCCTCCATACACTGCCTATGACCTTCAGGTAACTGCATTTGCTTTAAGCTTTTTTTTTTCTTTCAGAACTGCATAATTCTTCATGGCACTGATTCAACAATGTCTATACTGATATAATAGCACCACACAGTCACTGCAGAGTTATTGTTTTATCTCCACATCCTTGATGAAATCTCTCATTCCACTAAATCCCAAAGGTGCTCTATTGGATTTAGATCTGGTGACCGTGAAAGATATTTGAGTATAGTGAACTCATTGTCATGTTCAAAGAGCAGTTTGAGATTATTTAGGCTTTCTGACATGATGCTTTATCCTGCTGGAAGTAGCTATTACAAAATGTGGTCATTAAGGGATGGACATGGTCAGCAACAGTGCTCAGGTAGGCTGGGAAGTTTAAACAATGCTACCATCGAGTCCAAATTGTGCCTAAAATCTCCACCGTTTGTATGTTTTCATCTTGTTTACACCAAATTATGATAGCAACATCTGGATGAAACTCATATTCATCTTCTTTTGACCAATTTTGAGCAAACTGAAGACTCTACGTCTCTTTTAAGGGACTGTTTCTTATGGATTTATTAATCATTCTTACTGTTCAGTGAACGCAAACTGTCATAGTTTATTGAAGATGCAAACCCATTACTGCACGTCAGCTGCCACCTTCAGCAAACCTAATACGTGCAGCACGATGACTTTCATGAACATTTATGAGCGTCAAAAGTGGTGGATTTGTTCATCAAAAGATTTCACTGTGTGTCACTGCATATCAAATGACGTAAAATAATACAAAGCTATAGAACTAAAGCATTCTCCATTGTACAGAGTGAGAGCGCTTCTCTTCTTTTAAACTGAACAGTCGTATCATCAATGACATAAGCGTGCTCGGGCAATGTGAGTCTGGGTTGAGGGAGAGAGGGGAGGTGGGACAACCGCACCTGAGCACAGTTCAAGACCCTTAGAGATGCTCTTCTGCAGACTTCAGATGTAACAACTAGATTTATGAGTTTGTGTCACTTATTTATCATCTCCAGCCAGTCTGATCATTCTCTTCTGAACGATAGGATCAAGATATCTTATTCCACAGAACTGCCACCAACTGGGTATTGTCTGTTTTTTAACCATTTTCTATATAATAAACACTAGAGATCCGCAGTTTCTGAATTACAACATGCATCGTACAATGTTGATTAAATCTACTTTCTCTCCAATCTTCTTGACCATGTTTACATACCCAAATGCATTGAGTTGCCCGTCATGTGATTGGTTACCCAGCTAACAGGGAACATTCTAACAACATTCCATAATGTTCATTGAAAGTTGTGTAAATGTTAGCACATAACGGTATTAAACTGTTTTTTGTTATTCGAACATTAAAATATAATGTGGATGAAATCCAATGTTATAATGACATTTTTAAATAACCTACTAAGAACATTAATATAACGTGACTGAAATGTATTGAATAACATTATTATTAGTGGTGTAACAGATCACTAATCTCACGGTTCACATCACATTATTGTTTTTTAGACACGGATCGGACCATTTTACAGATCAGCCAAAAAAGGGAGGAGACAAGTGTCATTTTTTTCCCATTTATTATGAAAACAGCACTGCAAGACACTTTTGGTTTTAACAAACAGAACCTAGAACCTGTCATTTTATTAAACATAAAATTAAGAAAAAGTAAATTTAACTTAATTTATAAATTTAACATTATAATTTGTACAGCCTGTATTTATTTTTAGTCTCATTTTCAATAAATGATTCAGTTCTTCACTTGTAAAACGTCATGTTTCATTGCTAGATGATCGTTTTGGAATAATTATTCAGTGGCATATTTTTGACGGCTGGTTGTCCCTACCTGTTGGTTAAAAAATGTAATTGCTGCCTACACTTTCATTTTTGAACATCAAGTTAAATACATATGGTGGTGATTTTAATCTTTACCATAAACATCAGTGATTATATCTAAACTCTAATCTGTTATCCAGTACTTCTGTGTTATTTGACTGTTTGTAACTTCATAACTAGGCCCACACAGAATCTGCGCACGCAGAAATCTACAGAATTGTAGCCCATCATTGAGTCTATGTATCTACTTGTGTAAAATGACAGTTATTGTTTTTTTAAATTATTAATTTCACTAATATTATTGTGATATAATAATAGTAATATTAAAATAGTCATATGATTTGTTTACAATAGAGTTTGTAAAGTAAAATTTTCTGTCTTTTAGTAGATATATTATGAGAAACTTGTCTTGTTTACCAAATAAAATAAGTGGATCTAATTGGATTTGCATTGTAAACATTGTATACAAGTTAAAAATGTATTTTTTTTTATTTCATACATTTAGTTTTTAGTTGATACTCCTAAAATCATTCCATGTAAATCCACAGATGTTTTACAAATTTTTTTTGCAGAAATAGAAAGAAATGTCTGCAGATTCTGTCTGGCCAAACTCATGACTAACTCCAAATACTAAAGACTGAATCTCTCTTGATTTTTACTTTTTTTAGATTTGAGTGCAGTGATTTGAAGTATTAATAAACATATGCAAATCACCATCATTTATAATTTATGTTGCATGATTGTTGAGATCCCAATCTTTTATTGATTAATCATGTAGCTTACACTAAATGTTAATGGCTGAACAAGTAGTGACCGAAAACACCTTTAATAATCTAAGAAACCCACCACATCCCGAATAACCTACCACAACTTCTTCCGTCATGGTTATATTTTACCAGAAAGCCTAAATGCTTTCATACATGTGATTTGAATGACACAAGAGGCAATCATTCTTGCCATCCTTACAAATTTAGTAAAGTAAAATAAAGTATTAATCCGCAGGTCATGTGTGTATCGGAACCGTAGGTTGTGATCTGTATGAATTACATTACACCATTAATTATTATAACCAAAATGTAACGTCAAAACCTCATCAAAATGCAAGGAAAAAGAATTATTTAACTTAATGGGAACATTAAGGGAACGTTTAAAGAACCTACAGTTGTTAGCTGAGTAACTTTGTGAAATCATTTCCATGTTAAGCATCTAACCATAGTTTTGGCTGAATGTTTTGATTTAATGTGTCTTTGCAGGGTGCCAGCTTCTTTCCCGACTCTTCAGGCTTGTCTGACGATTCCCAGTCTGGAGCCAGTCACATGTGGCCAAATATGATCCCTCCTCGTTATTCTCCTCCTTATTACCCACCCGACGAGAAGCCCCCGCCATACAGCCCTTAAGGGGACCAGTCTGACCAAGACATTTTCCTGTCGAGACGGAAGTGGCAGTGGGCATTTTTTGATATTAGTGTTCAACGTCATTCTCCTGAATGCAGCGGAGGCTCACCCGAGCGGCAGGCTAAGTATAGAGAGACCACAGCATTAACCACAGGCATTCGTCATCAAATACAGCAGATGTAATATGCAACATTAATCCTTGACAAGATTTGCTCAAGCCAACAAACCCGATTGTGTAAAATATCCATGATATATAGCCTCAATGCAAGAGGACGACGTGTAGTAACGGACTACGAGACTGTTCACAGATAAGCCTTAAAACGTGCGTCCGCTTCCAGTACAGCTCCTGTTATTGGTACCGTCTGTGGGTCTCCTACTTGTGATTTCCTCCATCACACGAACCTTTCTCCCTTCCAAAGTGGCACAAAAGTGTTTTGTCGTGGCCTCTGCTCTCTCGGCACGAGGATGAGTCTCATATCTTATATCTTGCAATTGATTTGCACTTTATTGTCTTCAGAATCTACTGTATTCACACAGTTCTAGAAATTTTAGAGTTATTTTTAACTGTTTCAGGCAGCTAGATTGCAAAGAACTGTACATACGTTTAGGCTGAAACTGATTTTCTTTTCCTTCTCCTGAGCGCTTTGGTAGGATCTACGAGCTCTCCCGTAACATGTGCATCACAATCTTGTCACAGATTCGTCTTCTGTGACAACATCTTTGCTTGACTTACGCAAAGTAATAACCTCCACGAGAGGATTTTCGACTTGTACATCTTGCATTTATCAGCAATTTTGTGTCGTTTCTGTCTTAAAGTGACAGGACTTATCGAATGTAAAAAAGGAGGCTTAGCTTTATTAGTAACCGTTATGGATTTTAACACTTAATTGTTCAATGCGTAATAGTAATAACACAACATCTTTCCACGTTGCAAATATGATATCAATGTGCAATGCTGTACATATACTGAACAATCAAACTGCCTTCTAGTAACACAACACAACTGAGTCTTAAGACTTGTAGTGTTTTCCTCTTTTGTCTGTTAGTGCGTTCACTGTGAATGTCAAGTCACTGTACTTTTCGTGCTCGATTTATATCAACAACAGTGTCCTTTACTGGAGTGAAGTAGAGATTTTACAACAAATTCAATTGTTTGGATGACTTCTGGATGCAGCTGGTAAAAACCCTAGTCACATGCTACTAGTATAATGAAAGATCTTTCCCCTCGATTGTTCGTTTTGGAGCATTTTCATGTGACATTGTTTACCTTCAATGTTGAAAATCTTCAAATGAAGACTGATGTAGACTTTTTATTTTTAGCTTCGTTATCTTTTATCCTGCGTCATGCGGAAGCTGCACATTGCAGATTATGTTCATATAATAACATTCGCTGACCGCTATACAGAGACAGGAATGCTCATAACATTGACTGGTCGTTATCATACGTTCATGATGCTCTTGGAAATAAAAGAAATACATGTGTACTTTCTTCAAAGTTTTATTTCATTCTATACCGCACTGAGACCTAATAATAAATAGGTTACAAAATGGAAGAAACTGGTAAGACGAAGGTCTGTAGTACTATGTACATGATTATTGTTGCTATTGTTAGTTTTGACTCTCGCTGTATTCACAGATTCTTCTCGCAGCAGACAAAGCTAAACTACCTGATAAATCTATGCTAAAAAAATAATCATTTTTTTAAAAAACAGAGTATGTACAAAATATTCGACTGGAGAAGGAGAGTTCCTGTGTGTTATTCTTTACAGTTTTTTGAAAGAGCGTTTCTCTTCACGTCACAGAGTTCATATTGTCCGGGAAAACAGGATATATGGCCAGCATATACATACAGATAATTCATGAACAGGTGATGTTTTACATACTTACTCCATCCATCTTAAATCCTGCTGACAATCAACTTAGTGACTATAAATACAAACATTCAAGGGCTTGTCATTAACACTGATCTATCTAGTGCCGAACAATCAACTACAAAAACACGATGTGACAATTAAAATGTTAGCATCTTATTAAAATGGGAAAATAATTGTAGTATGACTTCACTGATACATCTGATGGTGGATTTACGTAACATTCCCAAACAGCACTTACACATTAAAGTTATGTAACTGTAAAAAATAAGCATAACAAATTGCAGCCTGTTCTTGATCCCGAATAATTACATCCAGTGTGGTTGGACAGTCTGGAAAAATAAAATGGAATCGAAAATATTAAAGGTCAGCGCTACACAGATCTAATGCAGCCTTACATAAAATATGTATAATCTACTTAGTCGTATTATCTGACGAAGCATTATTAAGATTCAATAATGGACTGTGAAACTCAACTGTAATCCAACGCTAAGTAATACATGATGCTAAATACACATTAAAGCACCCTAAAACAGCTTTCACAGAGTGAATGGAGTTGAGTTTTTGAAATGAATGGTCCAGAGAACCATATGGAGGCTTGTTTCTGCCACAGAATAAAAAATATATAGTAAACAAAAGAGAACTTAAACCTCTCATTTTACAATTCTGACTTTCTTCTTGCATTAAACTCAGACTTTTCATAAATATGAGTTTACAGTATATTGTTATGTTTTAATATCTTGCAATAGTGTGTGTGTGTGTGTGTATATATATATATATATATATATATATATATATATATATATATATATATATATATGCATACAATAGTTCTGTCTGGCTGATAGCCGTGCAATATTCTGCAAATAACAGCACTCGTCCAGCCTCTTTACCCTTCAAAGTTGTTTTACTCCACCCACATCCAGCGACAGGCAGAGGACGCTCTACAGTTTGACAAATATTGATGCTATTGGGCAACATAATGTATTTTTGAGGCTTCATTAGTCAAGAATGTAGTTGTTTAAATTGCAACTATGCAGTTTATTTATAAGGATAGTGCCTATTTTAAAATATTTATAATTTTGGAGATTCTGTGCATCGGACGCCATCACCCTGTCATACTGAACAGACCAAAGAAAGTGACGATTGATGTTCCACCACATGATGGCGACAGAGACCACATAATAAGTCTTTAGAGGGAGAAAAACTCAGCATCAGCTGAAGAAATCGTTATAAATCAGGTAAGTGACATTCTGAGTCAATCGCTCCCTTTTGTATTTTGTAGTGCTGTATTTATACTACAGAAACTGGAAGTGTTTGTTTTGCTTTGGCTTTTATGGTGTTAATTGGTGATATCCTGATTACAACAGAGAAATACTGGGAAATCTCTGTAGACTGACAGCATTTCATGCCGTTCAGCCTTATAATCTTAAAATGTGAGCAAAAATCTGCAGTTTTGTCATCACTTTAGACATTACGCTAGAGAATCATTCAAATACTAGCTCTAAAGTGACGTTTGTGAAGTAGCAACAGTTTCTGCTGTTCCGATGTCAGCTGTAGATGTGAATAAGTGGTGGAAAAACGTAGTTCCTCATACAAAAGGGTTTTTGAGTCTCCATGTTTGATTTTCTTTTTTTATATACACGATTTTGCCTTTGAACTGTTGTATAAACGCAATATCACACCCATAGCGGTGCCAACACATGCCTCTCACCAGCACCGATATATACAGCCATAAAGCACTGCTACTCATGTGATATTGCTCATATATATCACATTCTATGTTTATATATTATCTCAGAAATACACACTCACAATTGTGAGAAATAAAAGTCCTACTTTTGAGAAAGAGTTCTGTTTATATCAGAAGTCAAGATAGAACTTTTTATCATGCAATTCATACTTTTTTTCATCAGAACTGTCAGTCTTTATCAAAGTTTATGTTCATATCACAATTTCAAGATATAATTTTACAGTTCAGAAAATATGTACAAATTGGTTGCATTTCTAACCCAGTTCTGAGGAAAAAAGGCCAAATGTTGAGAAGTCTTTAATTCAGAAAATTGCAAGAAATTTTCTTTTTTTTATTACTCATATTTTTATAATTGTGACTTTTTCTGATCAGAATTGTGAGATTGTATTAAAATAATGAGATATAGACTTGCAATTGCAATAAATAACAAAATTATTGTCTAAAAACTATATAAAATTATTATAACAAAAAAGTCATAAGCCTTGTCCCAATTTGGAATAAAAAAGTCAGAATTGTGAGATACAAATTATTTCCTGCAATTCTGAGTTATTTTCTTGCTATTCTTCTCCCTCAGAAATTCAGACTTTTAAGGTAAACAAAAATTCTATATAATCAAATACAAACTCGAAATTGTACAAGAAAATTTTCAGAAAGAGTCAGTCACTTCATCACTAGTTTATCCAGCTACAGAAACAGGCCTCCACAGAAGAGCAACAACAACCTGTCTTTCAAATAAAACACAAAGAAATGAAGAAGGCACCTGAGCCAGATCGCTGAGCAAGTGTGCTCAGTATGTCTCTGGTATAACAAACTCAAATTCATTCCTGGCCGGGGCATTTATTTGGTCGACAGGCTGTGGAGGTGGAGCAGGGCGAGCATTTTGTCCTTCCGATTCTACAAAGATGTCATCCCAGTTCAGTGCTTTGCTTTGGTTAGATGGAAGTGGCTGGTTGGTACAGTGCTCCTTTTCCGAGTTTACGTATTGGATTGTCCCGTCTTCACCAATCACCGGACTTCCCCCTGACTCGTCAGAAACAAACGAATATGGTTTGAACTGCACCGTTTTACAAGGCAGCAGCCGATACAAGTTGTTGGCCGAGTCGTCTTTCTCTTTCCTTCCAGAAGGGTCTTGGTTGTGCGCTTGCTTGCAGTGGGTGGACAAAATCTGATAATTGAGAAACATCTCGTTGCACAGTAAACACTGGTACCGCCGTTCCCCCGTGTGACTGATTTCGTGTTTGGTTCTGTACTCGGCCAGGGCGAATACCTTGTTGCAGTAATGGCACGGATACTTTCGCTCCCAAGAATGAGTGTTAAAGTGCCGTCTAAGGCTCGTCAGGCAAACGTACGGGCGTTTACAAACAATGCACACGAAAAATGTCTTTCCGTCCATGATAATTTCATAGTGATCCTCCTGATCTGGCTTGAATTTCTTCTTTGATTTTGGTGAGAGACTGGCTGTGTTGGGAGAGTCGGGTTGTATTTGGGACTTGCAACCTGGAGCTGCTCCCTCCCCGGGATCGTCTTTGACAGGAACGATGTCGTAGGTGTTTTCACCTATGTTGGCATACACTTTACAACCTGGCGATAGAGAATCAATTTCCGAGGCTTTGTCTAATGTTATTGTCTTCTTCACCGAAAGTGCTGGGATTACGTTGGTTGGTCCGTTACTGCTACTACATGATGACCTTACATCCGACAGTGTGATCTTCCCAGGATGATCAGGGGAGTGCTCTAGCAGGACCTTTTTCTTTTGGACACCGAGGACTTCGATGTTGTCTGAAGGCAGCGAGACGTTTTGAGGATCTGAAGGGACGCTGTCTGGACAGGCTGGGGGTTTGGGATTGCTATTTGAGCCTGTTCCTACTGGTGAAGTGAGAATACTGCTACTGTTTTCAGTACTTGAAAGGATCACAACGTCTGGATCAAGGTTATTTTGGAGTGATGCGTTTCTTTCTGACGATTTCTTTTCTTGGGGTATTGAGCTTTTAGAGGCGACTCCTTCCTCATTTGTGACTTTCTGTTTTTTAGTTTCTGGTGCTCCTTCGATATTTTTATGAACATCTGATATTTTAGTCTTTTGAGCTTGCGGGGCTTCAGTTTTTGACACAAACAGGACATCATCGCTGTCTGAGTCCTCTTTTTCTGTATTTGCACCAGTCATGTTGAACTCCTCGGCAGACAGTGAGAAGGTCTCAGTAATGATGGGCATATTCACTCCTCCATCCTCAGGTTTCTCTGGAGAGCTGACAATGTTGTTGTCGCCATCTTTGGACAGGCCGGGTAATCCCTTGACTTGTGCTAGCGGGATCGCTAAATTAGCTATGAACGTCACACCCAGAATTTGACCGGCGTTAATTAGGTCTTCAAGTCTGTCCGATCGAACTCTGAACATTTGAGAAGTGTAAATGTAATTAAGGACCATGTCGAATATGTCTGCCTTTATGAAGTTCAGCTCTACAACTTTTCCAGCGACGGAAAACAGTTGTCGGAAGTAGGTGCTTGAGGCAGACAGGACACATTTGTGTGCCCTGAACTTGCGGTCTTGCACGACTATGGTGACATCACAGAATAAACCGTTGTGGCGCTCATCGTTGATGTTCTTCAACAGTGATCCTGGATACTGAGTGTCCACTACTGATATCAGCTTCAGTTTCGACATGCCTGTGGGGGGAAGAGTAAGTATAATAAAGTAATATGTACTTTCATTTATTTAACTTAGACGTGCAGATATTCGAGACAACAACAATACACCCATGGGAATAATATTGCAAAATACTATTGCTCATATTACAATGCTCTCCACTAGGGCAGTGCGACTTGGGGAAAATATTTAATTGCAATTTTTTTTACCAAAA